CATGGTAATGGTAATGGTAATGGTAAAACATTCTTCGCCGTGGTAACGGTCATGGTAAAGAAAAAAATCACATCGATGGTAATGGTATGGTAAATGGTAACGAAAAAGTCACGGTAACAGGACTCTATGCGCATGCCCAAAGATCGGTGCCCTGGCAATGCCGATTTCCACTCAAAAAACGATGTCGCATCGGTATTATTCAGTGTCGCATACCGATGCTGCATTACTAAAACTTTCGGTAACTTGTATTTTAAAAATTTCTTAGTCAAAGCATGGTCTAAAAGATTTAAAAAGTAAATATCCTTGATCAGTTCGACGAGCTCTCGTGTATGATTCAACAAGGAAAAAGTCTGCATCAAAAATGAATTTATGTTTTGCTTCTTGAAATATGTTTTCCTTTTCTAAACGCTTTGTATCAGTTTCAGTTAGAATTGTTTCAAGTTGAAATAAATTTTCTTCATTCTCTGTTTGTCTAGATTATTTTAATGCTAATAGTTGTTGAAATTCTTCTAGACATAATCCTTAGCAACTGATCAATATCACCAAAGCTAATGATAATGCTATATGTACTAAAACTAGATCATTAATAGTTGTTGATATATTCAACACTGGTATTTTTGAATCCGAAAATAAATCAATAGATTTTATATCAACTATTTTCTAGCACAAGCCTTTTTGGATTGACCACATCTTGTTGCTCGTGAAATTGAGTGGAAATCTCTATTCAAGAGCTGTATTTAACCGTGTATGATTCAACGAGGAATTTTTCTTTTGCCACTAACTGTATCTTTTTATCCTAGTCTATCGTGTAGCTATTGCAGGGCCGTCTCTCTTTCTCTTTCTCTCGAAATATGTTGCACATTTCGAAGTCGGAAGATTCCATTCAGTCTCGCTGACACGTGCCAGATACTTGCTTTTCTTTTGCTCAATTTTTTTAATGTCAATATATATACGAGAAAACTCCATTTGGGTCAAAATGTAGTCAGATTCTGTTGGGTTTATCTGTTATGCTAAATTAGTGTTTTTATCTTATGATTTATATCCTCCTTTTTTGGTATCGTTCGTTCTTGCAAGATCAATCAGATCGAGAATTCGTCTTATAACGAAACAAACAATGACATTTAGTCTTTTCGACAATAAAAAACAAAAATCTATTCGTAGTCTGTCGAAAGAATCAACCTCATTTCTTGGATTTCAACTGCTAATTGATATTTAAAACAAATGCCGCGAAATTATAAGGCTTTTCATGATATGCTTGAAAAAAGTTCGGATTGTTATAGATCAAATTCAATTGAATTGAGAATGATTGAACAATTTCGAATGACATACACGATTGATAAAGCTGCTGAATGGTATACAGATGATTCATTTATCTATCGATTAATTGATAAAGCATTGAGAACAGAAGATATTGAACTTCTTTATCTATTTCGATTCTACATTGTCGATTTGTGTTCACAATTGGAATAAGAACATAAATAACTTTATTTCACACAAGTGCTATTATTTTGTATCGTGGACAGAGTATGTCAACTGAAGAGTTTGAAAAACTAAAACAAAGTATTGGCATTTTGATAGCAACAAGCGGATTCTTTTCAACTTAACCCAACGTAACTGTTGTAACTGATGATCGGGACTGAATATCATTGTGTCACGTTGTCTTACTGGTACTGTTATTTCGATCAATTGTTCTGTATGGGATTGTGTAATTATTGTATTAATTAATCTAACGGGATAAACTTCATCATCTGGACATGGTTCAAACTTGATTTCAGACTTGAGCCACCAAGTGGTTCTGCTTGCACCAATTTTAACTGTTTTTGATGAGAAACATACATCGACATCATATTTGGAACACCACTCACCTTCCAGTATTAAATCTGTACAAATTGTTGTGGATATATCAGCCATGATTGTCGTTCTCAAGTTATTTCTATTCACTTTTAGCTCCACATTACCATTTGTGACTAACTGACTGTTGTTTACTGTACGGTATGACTTCATTTTGTGGCGATTTTGGATCTTTTTGTGATATAATTTCTTCAATAAATGTTCACTAATTATTGTTGTTGTTGATCCTGAATCCACTAATGCCTTCACCCATCGTCCATTCACGTTGCCTTTAATAATTGGTAATGATGATCTTGGTGACGGGTTTTGGTATTCGGAGATCATACCATCTACTGACCTCCTCTCTTGTTTAAATGGCAGTATCGTTGAAGATGACCAGGTTGACCACAACGATAACATGTGAGAACAACTTCTTGCTGTGGATATTGTTGTAGTGGATAATATGGTTGACGATAACGATTCCATGGCCTTCTTTGCTGAACATCTGGACAAGGGGTCATCAAGAATGTGGCATCGAGACCTGGTTGTTGTCGACGTATGGTATTAACTGAAGGATGAATGTATCGATCTTCACTCGGATAAGTAATACTTCGTGAATGCACCTGATCCTGAGTTGAGAACCATTGCATCTCTTGTTCTATGCCTTGCTGGATGGAGAGAAACAGGGCTCGTGTGGTTATTGTGGACAATTTACCAGATAATTGTTGTTGATATAATGGTAATAAGCCTTTAATCAAGGCAGCCACTAACATATTATCTGGTATATTGGGCGAGGCCATATTGGCTAATTTTATTTTTTCAGTATAATAGCTTGTAACAGATTCACTGTCCTGCTCTTGGCGTGCTTCAAAATCATTAATTTTGATAATTGATAATTTTGATGTGATAGTTGATGGATATTTAGTGATCATAGCTTACTTAAAATCAGTCCGTGAAACCATATCAGGGTTATTCTCTTCATACCATGTTAATGCATCATCTTCTAGGCGTAAGGAGATCTTCTTGCGTTTATCAGCATCACTAATACCATCAAAACATGAAAACCTTGATTCAACCATTTGTAGCCATCTGACAGCATCATCACTATGTCTACCTTTAAACTTGAGATCAATTTCGCTTAGAGCCCGATCCATTGTAGTACGGTCTTGTGGTACGCTTATTTCAACTATTCGTCTCTGTGTTTGTGGAAGACCTTGTTGGGCGGGTTGTTGTCCTATTGTTTGTGTGTGTGATCTCAAGTGCATATGTACACTGATATATTCGTATCAGTAGCAAATATCGAATGATTTGTACCAGACACTAAAACCAGAACTGCCACTACTGTAGAAGAACTCACGTTCTTTTTCACAAGAACGACCGTGCCAACCGGTACCTCCACAGGGAGTTCTTCCAAATAATTTTGTGGAATGATGCTGAGTCCGGAAGAGGATGGTTCTTCAATCTGCTTGATGGTAAGGGCCAAATTGAACCGGTCACGGCACCAGTTGTTAGGTAGTCGTGTTATAGCAGCTCATCAGATGCCACAGGTTTCTTAAATTTTATTATTTTTATTACTGCTGTAGAAAAATTCCAGTAGTGGTCGAATTTAGCGCTAAAGAAAAAGCAGCAACGAATCCTGCAGAGAGAAACAGTAGGATCGCAACCGTCAAAATTTTATGGAAAAAGGTGGCATCCTTATTAAATCTACAAAGGCTTTAGGCCATAAGAATGACGACTACATAGTTTATTTCCAGTGGCGGCCCGTCGGCTCAGGTAGGGTGTTCCTATATGATTGCTTGTATTGAAATAACATAACGCTCTGAAGGATTGTTTTTTTATTTTTTGCACACAAAAGAATACTATACAAAAATACGTTTAATCTTAGCGATTTTGACAACATATGTTCACTTTATGACATTTTGTTGAACATTTAACATTGTTACGAACACATTTACAATGTTTACTCTTACAACCTGCTTTACAAGAGCAAATTACACCATTGATATTGCCACGAACATATAATTTGGATGCTGTTATTAATGTTATTTCACTTAAATCGTCCACGTTTAACATTACTAGATCGTTTGAAACACTGGAAAGAAAAATGACATCATCAAATGACCACCACACAGTGGGCATATTTGGCTACAGCAGGCGGAAATGAGCTTTTAAACGATAGATACAAGGATAAAATTGATGAAAAATATGTTTTCATAGGTTATCGACTATGCTCGATCCAACCATGAAGTCAAAATGAATTTTTGAAAACTTCAGTTTAGGTGGTTTTTCGAAAAACCTCGGTTTGCGGTGAAAACTTTTAGTTTTTTAAAAACACAGTGCATACACGTCATACATATTGCCAGTTGTAAGAAACGGCACCTCTCCTTTATTCGAAAGCCCTAGAAAACTTTTAGAGCCTCCAGAACCGCATATCGGGCACAAACCAAAAGCCCTCCAGTTTTATTATTAATCAATGAAAGAATGACAGGTTTAGTTCCGAAGGGACTTTAGCCATTGATGTTTTAACATCAACGTTTCTCCTCCTCACCACGGAGAGGTCTCCCTTCATAGAGGAGGAAAAATTCATCAAAAAATCGCATGCGAATCAATTAAACTAAAAGAAGTAGACTAAAAAGAATAGACTAAAAGAAATAGACTAAAATTACCGAAATAGTTTCCACTGAAATTCATCCCTCAGGCCTATCTTCAGAACAGCATCAACCGCGAACACAGAAATTGCGAGTTGATGGACCGGCCTTGATGGAAAGGCGGATCCATCAGAAGCTCCCCGCAGTTTTCATGCAACGTTTGAGTGCTCTCTGAAAAAGGAAATCATTTTCACACTAGAATCTTACCCAAAAGAACATCATCTTCGTTTATGGTAGATAAGACATTTGTATTACCTGCTCTTTTCTCCCTCTTTGACTGAGACTGTTCGATAATATGCCGAATAAGAGGATCAGATCGAATGAATAATCGATTAAATACATCAGTTAAATTGGGGATATGGCCACATTTTCGAGATAAAAATTCGCGATAATTTCTAACATGTTTGTTGCTACTTTCGAGGGCTTCTTCACTTAGTTCTCCTAAAGCGACTCCGTTGTTTCTTTCGACTAATTCCGCTGAATGAAATATCAAATTGTGCACAGTAATGTTATACTCGATCCAAGCGAATTCATTAGCAATAAAGAGACTAAAGTCAATGGTCAGTTTTCTTAGTTCTTCTATGTGAAGAGTTTGAGTGGAAGATACAGCACGAAGAATAACTGAGTACATTTGCATGAGCCGAGAACATTTTTCCTTCTGTTTTTCGGGCACGCATTCCACTATTTTCTCCCTCAATTCGAATGAAAAGAACCTTCGACCCTGTTGCCCAGTTGTGCTAGTGCCTGTATTACCCGCAGAAGAGTCCATTTGATCGAGTTTCAGGCCTGTTTTTTCTTGAATAGATAAAAGTACAGAGTGCTTGGCCTTTTTCAGTTTCTCTTGATTTTTCTCTCCTCTGACCGCCCATGTGAAAATGTTCGCTTCTGTATAGAATATTAAGAAACCAGTGCGTGCCATTAATATATTGATGGCTGAGAGTGAAATAGTGCTGGTCACTTGTAGAAATCGGTTCAGAAGTAAGGCCTCTTCTAGTGTCGTAGTCATTTTTCGTTTTCTTAATTTCTCCACTCTCCTCCGTCATCTCCTTATACAATTGCAGGGTTTTCTCAGCCGATCGACTTATTTGAAAAGCATCAGGCTCTCGTATCTTATCTACATTTTTCCAATCTGCCTGTCGAGTTTCGCACATAAGACACTCAGCTCCACCTAGATCGGATTCCATTGTTCGAACCTTTAGATCTTTCATTGAGTTTTCGATAACAATTGAAACTTTGTAATTTTTTTCTCCATGCTTTAGTTTAATGCTCGTATCACGTAACTTTTGTTCCTGAGGTTCGAAATTTTCATTGACAAACCGAATCAAGTCCGCATTTTCCTTTTCCGCTATCAAAGCTAAAGGTCTCGTGTAGCACGCACTGTTCGGACTCCCATTTTTCCACACGATTTCTCCAGTTTGGGTATCAATTAGTGAAAGAGGCACGTACATCTTTGAAAATATATTGGGATCATGCATAGGATTGTCAAGAGATCGATAAACAGACTGACTTCCGACTCCATCGTGCCCCGTTTTATGTTTGTAAGTTATTTTCGAGGGAAGAACAATATTCATTTGAGTCAGCTGATCTAATAATCGAGAAATGGTCATTGAAACAGTCTCTTGTAAATTTGCGACCATAATGCCCCTTTTCTCTCTACATTCAACTACTTTGGGAACTAATTCTTGGGCGTGTTCACGTAAGATGTTTTTGTTAGGAACGTGTACAAATTCTTTTTGAAAGCTCTTGACAAAATCGAGATCATTTCTGCTTAAATTGATATGAGTCTTCAGTGCTAGCGCTTCGTCAACATTTAATTTCGCTCTTGTTAGTTCTTGCACATCCCCCGTTTTGTATAATTCATCTCCAAGTTTGGCCATGTATTTATTCATATTATAATTCCTTTGATACAATAAATAGCCAATAACCTGATTGACACTTATATTGTTATCCCTTGCAAAATCATCTAACTATGAGTTCAAGTCAGCTAGTTTCTTTCGTTTCTGACAACTTCCCACTTCACTAAAATCTCGAGTGGTCCGTTTTGGCGTTTTCGGTCTCTCTGCTATTTTAACATCAAGAAAGTCGGTTTTGTGCAGAGCAATGGTAGAAAATTTTTCTTTACATCCATCTAAATTTCGATGTTTTTTCCATTCGTCATACTTTACTTTGTTTTTGGCCGTATGATAATGATGTTTAGATTGAAATATTTCCTTGTTTCTTTCAGTCGGTTGAATATCGAAATACTGAAAAACCTTTTCTTGCATTTTTTCGATGTTACTTTCGCAATCAATATGATAAATGATGAAGAATTCGTTCAATGTCATTTCATTTATGGAGAGAGAAGTAGTAGTTTGATTGTTTGCAGTGTCCATGTGCGAATAAACAGGGCGTAGAGACATAAACCAAGGCCGCGGGTCGCCACCGACCTACAGTTAACAATCAGCCGGCTGTATGACGCCCACGGTACCCCCAAATTCGAGCCCTGGTATCAAGTATACCCGGCCCCCGTATACGTTTTTAAAATGTCTCTCAGACAGATGAATTGTTCAGACCAGGGGGGACCAACGCGAGGTCACAGGGCCTGGCTATTCTATACGATTTGTCCACCCTAGAGGTCTCAGCTCTATTCCGTTACTTCTTGGGACCACCTTGGTGGACAATTTTTCAAGCCTCCTTGACCTCCTGCGCTTCTCAGTAAACCACCTCGCGCAAAGTGGGAGTCCATGTACATTCAAAAAATAGCAATGGATGAATTCAGCCTCGGAAGGATAATCTAACGGCTGCTCTGCACTGCGTACAGAGCCAGAGGGGGGTATACACAAAGGAACCCTCTGAGCTAGATTATTCACCTGTACCTTCATTCAACCATTACTATTTACCAGATCCGGGTGCTAGTCATGGCATAAAGCCGATCCTTACGAGTTAGTGATGGGGGAGGTTTTCCTACTCCTAAAACTTTACCAAAATCTGAACCTTGCCCCATTCCCATAGATTTAGGTCGTTGCGGACCCGTAGTTTAACGTCATTGCGGACGAAAATCATCTGTCAGATCAAATCTCAGCTCTATCCCGTTACTTCTTGGGACCACCTTGGTGTACAATGATTAAGGACAAAGATATTGCATGTTTTCGGAAAAAAAGCTCCTCTCAATTTTTTGAAATTTTCTCCAGAAAGGAGCGGACTGAAAACACTAAAAAGGTGATATTTGTGCTCCTCAGCTTCCGGGCTATCTAACCCTATGTGTTTAAACCGAAAATCAAAGTTTGTAGAAACTTCGAATTTCGTACGCCTTATTCAGTTCTGAGGCTGAAAACTTATGCTAAAGTGAGTCCTCCTTACTTCTGAAAATAAAAATAACAACACTCACTCTCGACATGAACTTTAGTTCTTTACGCTGCCATTGTACTATTGACATTCGATGCGTAAAAATTTAGTTTTTTTAAGTGCCTCTATTTGTGGCTAATTTTTTGTTTTACGCATTTTGACTGCTTTCATCACAACAAAAAATCAGGCATACGTCTTATATCAGTGCTGAGTTATAGTTCATAATACTGAAAAAGTCTCGGGTCTGTTACCACTCAGCCAAAACAAAAAACCGTTTTTCGAGTTAGATCAGAAATGTTTTTATTATGTTCTTTTGAGTAACTAATACATATAGATCAGATAAATTCTCAAGTATGCCAGCGAGAATTTTATTATCACTTTTCTAGAAAAGTATTTTTGTTCTTATGTGATAAATCCACTTTTTAGTCGAAATTTCTTTTATTTTTTCCGCTGGTATGTGTGATTCTAATGACACAGGTATAAACATTATATAAACATCTGTCTCAGGTTTTAGTCCTTAATATAACAGTGTTAGATGAAACTAATCTTTAGTGACAGAAACCGGCTTTTTCAAGCAAAATTTCTCAACAAACAAAACTAATGATATCGACATCAGGGATAAAACCATTTGCATACACTTCCCTGCGATAGGACGATCTTTGTAGGTATGTGCCGACTTATTGTCGTAAATATATTAGCAGAGGTGCATAAAAGGTAGAGCAAACTGCATACAAATATATTTTATGAATCGCTTACCTCACAGTTAATCGAAAGAAGAGTCGATATACATCTGGTAAGATTCATATTCATTTAGACGAGTTCTATTGAATAAAAGAGTTTCCTTTTACTTTTAAGTCACAATTAGCTGTTTTACTTTCATTACCGTTTAACCAGCAAAATTACTTTAAGAGTAGTAATTATTGAAAGAAAATTATGGAACTGTTATGTTGACTCAAAACTGCATTTTCTACGAAGAAAGGACTTGAAAGTTAAGAACTTTTTTCCGTATTAACTACTTATACAATACTTTGCTTTAATCCACTTCAAACTTTTCTCAGTATAACTTAATTCTCCAAGTTTTTTCTCCAAACGGCACAACGGCAGCATAAATTACTAATATTCATTCATTTAGCTTTTTGTATATATATAATAGATAAAAGAGAGAAGAGATAAAACTCATAACGCAACATGCCGAAACGCAATTCCAGTGAAAATTAATTAAATTATCATGTTTCATTATATTTTGCTGGCATCTCGTTTCAGCATGCTATGTATTTTATCCTTTCCTGATTAAAGATGTGATATGTCTATTTACGCATATGTATAGTTCACCATTCCTATATTTTGTCACGATCCTAATTGCTACCTATTAGCCTCTTTGATCAACATATTTGTCTCAAAATGTGGAACGAAGAAGCCTCAAAGGAAAGGATTGCTCTAACTTTTAATTCGTTAAAAATTATAACCAGTCATTGCTCCGGTTCAGAGCTCGATGCTACTTTTGCTGTAAAGAAGTGATGGCAAAAACGTAAAAAATCACAGGAATAACGTAATGTCCTGAAAAATGATGGTACGTTTTTCCAGTGACTTTATATATGTTGCCTTAACGTTATTTGACGCATTTTTGTCGCTGGTTGCTACATATTTTTTAGTAGATTTTGTGGAAAGATGCTGAACAGTTCAAGATACTACTGTGATCTGAAATTCAGATTCTGAATGCCCTTAATAAATGACACCGTTTATGGAAGTAACAGATAACTTTTTGTTCGCTACTGGAAGCAAATCGCACTTTCTTATATTTCTATCGTCTCGTCCTCTCAATTAGATGGCTGGTAGATCTAATCTTGAACTTCCTCGGAGCATCAGTAAAAGGTGTCCAACGTTGTAAGGAGGAACAAAAGAAAACAATGTTAAGAAAATTTGTTCGTTGCGACCAGACGACTTTTATTTGTTCAGTACAAGGTATCGAAATTAAGGAAGCTTATAAAAAAACCTTATGATTAAGGAAAAAGTAAAAATTTACAATAAAGGCAAAACGTAATTATGCTACTTTTTTATTGTGACAAATGCTGTTCCATATAGATATAGTAAAAATCCATGTGAAATTCTCTAAGTTTGATCTCTTTAGTGTAAATTTTTAGTCTAATAGTTTAATAAACAAAAGTTAATTTTTTCTGGTTGCCACACTTCAAAAGCCTGTACGTTGTCTTCGAGTAAAATTATGTCTAATTCGTTATAAATAAATGTTATTGATTTTACTGGATTAATATATCTAACTTGATTTTAACTGAGAAAGTGTGACACCAAAATAAAGAAAATGTAGAATTGTGACGGCACACGTTTGAAATAGTAAAAGTGTGGCGTTATAACGCGTCAAAAAACGTGACAGAAAAAGTTGGTAGTCGAAATGCTTAAAGTGACTTTTTTTCTTGATGTTACGGCAAAGCCGTTTCATTCAGCATTAAAGATGTTGAAATCAATAGTAAAATAATGACATTACAAAAACTGACATTTTTACTATTACTCTGTCACTGATTCCATTCACATTTTTTTACAGTGCTGCTATGTCAAAGGTTGTTAGAAGTTAGCTGACAATGGTAGCTAACTTCTAACAACAATTTCAAGATAAATAAGTGTATTGACGTCATGGAAAAAGTATGACGGATACACTGTTACCCTGCCAGCAGTTGATCGAAGACAATTGTTTTGTTTTTTAATGTGACTCACGACGGAAACGATTTACTATATCACTCATTTTAAGTTTAAAAAACTGATAGATAGGTATTATCATACTCATCGCAAACTGAGGCCAATCAAACAGTAATGGGATGGTTTTATTATTAAAAAGATCATCTGGTATGCGGCAGTGTTTTCATATTCGAGGCTAGATTGATATGATGATACAAATTTTACCATAATTTTGCTGATTATGCTTGTGTTTTACTATTTATTTATGTCATCTTTTCTTATTCAGTCCGTTTCACTGTGCTTCTGTGCTTTATGGTTTGGCGACTTTAAGAGACAGCAGAAGATAACGTATACATTTCTCAGGCTGTTGTTACTTCACTCTGAAGGTATTTGCCATGATCAATTTCTCTTGCTGAAAATGTGCAAGTATTGAGTACCACTGGATTCTCTGGGTAGCGATTTTATGAAAATGTGTTCTAGGAGTCCTAATCAATTTTTAAATGGTACTCTAATTAATAAACCAGTCATGTCATGGCAACATAGTGCAGCTTTAGGACGGTTCGGGCCTCACACGAAATCGCGCCTTTTAAGCAAAGAATTTTCTGTTTTTGATTTTGATGCCATCAATTAACGAAAGTACTAATACCGCCAGTGAAATGAACGGTTTGACTTTAATATCAACAGCAGCGCCTACTGCATCGTCGAGCACCCATGATATCAATATTCAAGTTCATATAAACAACAGTTTAGCACATGATGACGCAAAAATACAAAAAAAACACGCAAATTCGCCTGTATTGACAATAAACGATTATTTAGACGGTCTAAATTGTTTATATTCATTGACCCTCGAGGTATGCTTGTATTTTTTACCTTGTCCTAACAAAAATGTGTTCAACTTTTTTACTTTAGAGTCAGTGCTACTACGAATGATATTTGTCAAAAATTACGGTTATATCTAGAAGATAAAATTGGCATAGATGAAATTTCTGTTAGTACATCTAAGACAATTGATAATATAATTGATAATATTGATCACCAAGAATCTCTTCATAATTCGAATGTAACATGTTTACCCAGTCCTCTAAATGTTAGCATCTCTCAATCTACTTCTCAATGCCTTCTTGATTTATCACCATCTACTCTACATGTTTCACTTCAACAACCGTTGATTGTTAATGGTAACCCAGTAACAGAAAATCTAATATCTTTTGATTCGCCTCCATCTCCTCAACGAGTATCAACAACACTTTTTGACTTACATAATTTAACTTTCAGCCCAGTCACATGTTTAAGTAACGAAAATAACCTAGTACTTTCAGATTTACAGTCAATATCTACAGCACCTGCTACGAATTCTATTTCAAAAACTAATTGTGTTTCTCAGTCATCCTCATCTTTTATAAACTATAATTCATCAGAAAATAACCCAATATGACATGAAAGTATTCGGCGCAAAGCGCAAGATAATTATTTAGAAACAACTAATAAACGAAGAAAAGCGTATGATGAACATCTAAGTAGTTTGGCAGAAATGTATAAAAAAAATGATTGTGTTGGAGTGCGAATTCATACTGTTGACAGGACAAATACAGAGCCAATTCGGATTCTTGAAAGACAGATTTGGTATAGAAAGTCTTATTGATCTAACGAAGTAGCTGCCCTAATGAATTAGAGAAGGAACTGTCTTTGAGTGAAGCTTTGAAATTATATGTCCGAGGAGCAATAAATGGAGCTACTTGTGACTGTAGAAGCCAATGTGCCACTAAACACTGTCCTTGTAAAAAGACCGGGGTCGCCTGTTCCACCAAATGCCATTCAAAAAAGGGTAAATGTAAGAATATGGTTTAAAAAAACATTATGTTCTTTTCAGGTACACTGCTAACACTACATGTTGATTGATATTGATGAAAACAAATGTACATAGCTATTTTCTGCTGCGGATGTAATCTTTTTTATTCTATCTTTTTAGGATTGAAACTCAGAAGAGTTCTGTAAATACATATCAGATTTCTTTACTACTATTCAGATGAGTGCACATGTACATGATAAAATAGATTGTTTTACTAGTAAATGTTCGTATTTGAGTGCACACATATTAATACACAAAATGAAAAAACTACTTAGATATCATGCCACCTTTTCGCGGTTAAGTAGATCAGTATTTAGTAAAGATTTGAGTATGTATACCGTATTAGCAGTACAAGCATGTCTTCAGTCTTTATTAGAGAAACCAAGAGCATGATTATAAAAATTTAAATAACAGTTGATTGCATGATATATCAATATGATATTATATAAAAAGCATAATTATCAATTTTAAATAACAATTGCATTTCACTCTTGTAATATCTCAGATTTGCCAAAATTCCAGTTTTGACCTATATTTCTTTAGTCAAAACTAAAATTCCAGTTTTGACCGGGAAATCTCAGATTTGACCGAATTCCAGTTTTACCCGTAACATACATATTTATTTTTGAATTTGTTTTCTTAGTATAAGAACATTGTTTTTAAACTTTGGTCTTTTTTCATCAACTAACAGAGTGCAATCATTCATCTGTGTACATGTTGATTCTGAAAATATCCTTACATCTTGGTAAAATTTCGAAATTTCTTTAATTTGTTGTACTTTACATACTGCTCTTAATTAATATCAGGATTTACACACCGAAGCAAGGAGGTTTTTGAAATTTTTGATAATTTTAGAAGGAATCACACCCCTGTACGATTGTTCAATGTCTGAGCAGTCCATTGTGAGCGGATAGTTGCAAGTGCAATTCTTTATCTCCTGATAAAGTCAGACATATTATTATTTTCTTTGTATAAAGCAAAATTGATAGAACAAAATGTAAGGATTTTTATCGTTCTATTTAAGATTTGTTAGAAATGAACTCTTCTGTTACTGGCGACGATACTCTCACTGAAAAAACAAATAGTTTGAAATTAATAATAAAACATGCTAGCAAAACGTATTATCTAAACATTGATTGTTAAGAATCAACAACAAAACTAAAACAATGGAAAACAATAGCAGCATACGTTCATGTCTCGCCCGATAAAATGAAACTTATTTGTAAAGAAAAATGTTATACGAAAGAAAATTGCCACGAATTTAATGTGACACCTAATGTAACATGTATGCTCATAGGTGAAATTGACGAAGATGAAACTGATGTGAATAAGTCAGATATTGATTGTCTTGTTCAACAACTGAAAACGGATCGAAATACAGCAATTCGCGCATTAAAAAAATTTCCGGACCTTATTGATGCAATTTTGTTTATTGGCAACATGAAATAAAGACTTCTGTTGCAAAATAAAGGGTTTTTTTATATGAAATTTTCAGTATTTGAATAAAATTTTGAAAGAATTTTATTATGTTTCTATCTTTCTATCATAATGTTTTTGTTTTAATGTTTATAGATGTTAAGCAGTACAAATTGTGGTTGGGTCGATGAACCTGATGAATTATTTGATCCCATACAATTTGCTGTCGATTTAAACATTCCGGATAAAAACAATAGTACTAATGGTGATGTAAATTCAGTTGCTAATAATGAACATGTATTTATATCAAAAGGTTTAATTACCAAAGCCAATGGTTCATCATATATTAAACTGGGGTCAACAAAAATTACTTGTTCAATTTATGGTCCACACGAAACAACAACGGATGAATCATATTCAAAATATTTGTTAGAAACATCGATTAAATTTAGCCCATTTGCTCGTCAAAAGCGTATTGATCCATTACGTATAACCTATGAAAATTCAAATGATATAGTTTTAATTAATTTATTTAACGAGGATTGTAATATACAAAAAACTTTTCCGCTCTACATATAACAATAAATAGAGTAGCACAAGAAGTAAAGAATGTTAAGTGAATCTTTTAGTGTCAACGATGTATTTGTGGACATTATTTACGATAAGGATGTTTTGTTCTGGAGTAAGGTTAATTGATCCTTTTAGAATGAGTTCAGTAGTTGGTGGTATTGCGGTAATCGATTTTATATTATTCAACAATATAGATCTTTCCTGGACAAATCGAAGACATTTTAAAAAGTAGTGTTCAGCTGTTTCAGGCTTGT